ATCAGAAATTAATATACATTTTTCAGAATTATCATTTAGAATATATTGTAATTTCCAACAAAGTTTAAAACCAATTAATGGCAAAGCTATGATTACAGTATACATTATTTATTTTATGGTCCTAATTATGAATGTTTACCTAGTATGAAATTTTTTTTCTATATTAAAGGAAGTTTCAATATTAAACTTTAAAGTTAACAATTAGTCACTCCTTGTCTTTAATTAATTTTATTGAAGTATAGTTGATATACAATGTTACATTAGTTTCAGGTGTACAACACAGAGGCTTGGACGATGCCAACTGCAAGTGCAGCTACCATCTGTCACCATACTACCCTATTACAATACCATTAACTATATTCCCTATGCTGTGCTTTTCATCCCTGCCACGTATTCATTCCATAAATGGAAGCCTGAATCTCTCTCGTTCACCCATTTTATCCATGCCACTATCCCCATCCACTCTGGCAACCATCAATTTGTTCTCTGTATTTATCAGTCTGTTTCCACTTTTTGTTTTTTTTTTAGATTTCACATATAAGTGGAAGAATGTGGTATTTTTCTTTCTGACTTATTTCACTTACCATAATACCCTACTCCTTATCTGTAATAGCCTCATAACTCAACGTCACCCAACCCATATGCCTGTAAACATACTAAAATTGCTACCCACCACATGCCCATTCACATGGTCTTCATACACATTGAGATGCATATGTTTTGTGACATAAAGAAATTAGATGAAATGAGCCATGTAAGAAATAGATCTCATTTTATAGTCCCTTTTTTTTCTGTCCTGATGGTTTTGTTCATGTTCAGTAATACCCAAACCTTGGCATTCTCTTTCAAATCTCATGATTCCAAATAACTTTTTTTTTTTTTTAATATGCTTCACACCCACTGCAGAGCCTCACACAGGGCTTAAACTCAGGACCCTGAGATCAAGACCCCAGTTGAGATCAAGAATCAGATGCTCAACCAACTGAGTCACCCAGGCACCCCTCAAATAACTTTTTTATGTAGAATACTCCTAAATTTCTATGTCTTGACCTGTTTCCCAAGGTCCAATCCTATATTTGCAGCTGGAAATATCCCCCAAGTCCTTAAAACACGTAACGCCTCAAGGTGGATTATCTTTCTTTCACCCTCAAACCTATTCCTCTTATGCTTACTTTAGGGTTCCTCAAACTTTGTGGTCACACAGCTTGAAGGTTAGGCTCATCTTTTTTCTTTGGTCTCCTTAACTCCCCCAACCATCCCCACCCTGATCCAATCCTTTACCAAATCTTAGCTGTTCTATTGCCTTGCCCTGGAAGCTCAACTTTCAAATTCTCTGCAGCCACTTCTCCACTTTAAATCCTCTTACCCTGTGTTGCTGCAGCTCTGCATTATTTTCACAGTCCTCTGGTCCATGACCTGTGAGCAATGGGGCAGAGTGAGGCTTTTATGATTTTAGGTTTGTCTGTTTTACTTTATGGCAAGAGGAGTAACTTGAAAATGAGCATTACCATTACACAAAAACAGGTATGCCGTGATAACGACTGGGTAAACATTTTCTCTGGCTGAAGAAGCAGGTCCAGATTTTTGGTAATGTTTCCTTGTATATCAATCAGCAGGGTTAACAGAAAAAAACAAAACAAAAACACAGATTTTTTGTTTAAACAAAACAAAACAAAAGATCTTGAAGACATACAGATAAACGCTCAATTCTAAATCTCATTTATTTTACTTTTCTGCAGCTCAGTTCCTTATATTTGAAATGAGAATAATAAGCTATCTCATACGGTTAACATTAAATAGGGTCCATAGGTACCTGACTTATGCTCTAAATATTTGTTAATTGAATGAATGGTGCTCTCCTGCCTGAAATACCTCCTTTCCCAGATCTTTATCCAGCTAACTTGTACTTATTTTATGGCCCCAGTGCCTATTTGTTTATCACACACTCAGTATTACTGATGTCCTTGTTAGTCTCTCATTATATTTTAGTAAATTCCTTGAGGATAGAATCCATGTGTTATTTGACTTTGAATCTGCAGCAATAGGTGTGATTCCTGGCAAACAACATCCACTACTTCAGTAAATGTTGAACGACTACTTTTTCTACACTAGTAACCAAAGGCCTTGTACCATAAGCTTTACCAATTTTATTCTAAGGGCAAAGTAACCAACACATTGGAAAAAAGAAAAAATTAACAACCAAATATCTACAGCAGGTATCACAACAACAAAAATATTCTGATCGAATTCTATGTAATTGAAGGTGGCAAAAATGCAGCCTCTCCTCATAAAGACAACAGCTCGTTCTCACTAAGCACTTAAAACTGTGCCTAACTGAGCGATTTGGTTATTTAATCCAATCTACACAACTCCCTGTGCGATAAATTTTCTCTCTCTTATTTTACACGATTTGAAAACTGAGCACCAGGAAGATTAGGTAACCCCTAGATCACGCAAGTAGGGAGCTGCGATGTCAAGATTCCAACAATTTGGGACTTCCTAATTCCAGAGCCTGTACCGCTCATCACACTACGCTGACTTTTAACAACTGCAGATGTCAGGTGGTATCCTGACCCATGATGACTAAGGCTAGTATGTCTTCCCTGAAAGTGAGGGAAACATTAGGGATGGACCAAGAGTACCTCTCCCCCTCACACTGAACTATGAGAGGTTCTACCTGCTAACTGTGTCAAGTATACGTACGTTATTGAAACTGCACAGGGTTTTCTTCCCACAATAAACTACAATAAACTACACTTTCCCTCTGAATAGAGTAATCCTTGGTTTTCTTTTCATATTAACACACAAAAATTTCCTTACAGCTTGAAAACCTAGATGCTTGAGAACTAAGCCACCATTTCCAGTGAAACCAGAAAACAAACCAAAAAAGGGCCGCATTTATAGTTTCGAGGTAAAGAGATCCAAACAAGACAGTCCTTGAGCACTTAGAAGTCCCGAGTATGCAGAATTGCTAGTGTCAATCACACAGGAAACAGAAGTACCTTAATACTGACAAATTGGCTTCGGAGTTTCCTTAAAGAGCCTCTAAATCATTTGAGACCAATTTCCAATGTAATGCTCTAAGGGGCCACCTTGTAGACTTCCAACAAGCAATCCAGAAGGTGTCCAGAAGATGAGTAAGAAATCAAACTTCTTGGAAAATGGAGGCGGTGGGCGCGGGGCATGTAACTTTAAACCGGCAAAACTAGGAGTTTGTGGCTACCTTCCAAAGATTCCCGTATCTTACATTGCCACTAAGTAACAGTGGGCCAGGGCTTTCCACAACCCCCCCCCCCCCCCCCCCCCCCCCCCCCCCCGCCCGCAATTAGGATAGGGGACTTTGCCTCATTTTATTAACAGATACCTTCCTCGTAGCATGATTCAATGATGGGCATTTTGGTTCCTCGCATTTAAAAATGCAGCCACAAATCCACTCGGGGAGAAAAAGTATGCAATAAAAGGGCAACAGCTAGGACGTATAGCCAGTTCCAAATCTTCCAAGCTGAAGAGGGCGTATGAAGTATCACTAAAAACATTTATTACCGTCCGTGTGCCAAGTGGCGATGGCCAAAGTGCGGATGTGGTTAATACAAGTGCAAAACACCGAGCGGTGGAGTCACCCTACACTCCAGAATCGGCGGTCAGACCACCGGTAAACCAACGCTCGCGAAATGGCTGCCGCACGTCAATCGGCCAGAAAGCATTACTCCCTCCCTCGGGCACGTCACGTCACCAGGGAAACGGCGCTTTTGCGTAGGGGCGCGGCCCGGGTGAAAGTTCAGGGCTGGACCGGAGACCCCCGCCCCTGTGCCTTTGTGGATGCTTGTGGGCGCAAGGCGAGGCCAGAGTCCCGGAGTCTCCCACGGCCCCGGGTGAGGGGAGCGTGGGCCCAGGCCTGGAGTGAACAAAGCGCCCCTCTTCCCCAGCTCCGCCTCGCTCGGCCGGCGGTCGGGTAAGCGCCCGGAAGCGAGCACGAGCCGAGGGCGGGGCGAGCTGGGGGCCCGAACCGCCTCCGAGCGCGATCTCGGTTCCGCGGCGGTGGAGGTGGCACCCGCTGGAGTTGACGTTAGCCATGGAAACGCGGAGCTGGCTCAGGCGTGACCTCGGGGAGCTGGTTGCCTGGCCGCTACAGCTTCTATGCCTTCGCGTTCGGGTCGCCGGCAGCCTCTGGGCAGGATCGCCCAACCCGGGTTTACCTGCAAAAATGCAGTCCCCGGGATGCCTTCGCACCGCCTCTGCCCTCGGGTGACTCGAGGTACGTTCGAACCCCGACATCCACCTGGGGATTTCTTGGTCACCTTAATTTCCAGGACTATGCAGAGTCACGTTCTTGCAGTTTCTGTTGCCGCACATTTCTTGTTCTTCGCTATAAAACCTTCAAATGCTATTATTGCACTTTTTAGATGGAAGATGAACTCCGTGCCTAGAGGAATCAATCCAATGTGACTTTAAGTTTTTTCAGAAAACTGCTTTAGCCTGTTGAGTTACAGCGTTTTGTCTCTAAGAGACACTGGTCAGATGGAAAACGGTCCTTTGGGTTTTGATTGAGTGATGTCCTTGTTTCACCAATACAGTTTACAAACTGCATCCCTTAGATAGTCCTGTACTCTTTCCTTATGTCCAGCTAGACCACTTTTGCCCCGGCCTGGTCAACTTACGTCCCCCTGAACATGAATAACTCTTTCACCCCTAATCTGCCTTTTTTCAAAACTCTGTCAAGGACCAGTGTTTACTTCAACGAAATCTACAACAGAGGTTATCTATCAGACCTGTGAATTGATTATTTGCTCTTTACCAATCATTTCTCTTGTATTCAGCTATCTGACATTAGGTACGTTCTTTTTGTTTGTTCGTTTTGTTAAACCATTTTTTAAAGTTTGTTTATTTTGAGAGCAAGAGAGAGAGAGTGCGGGTGGGGGAGGAGCAGAGAGAGAATCCCACGCAGGCTCTTGGCTGCCAGTGTATGCTGGGTTCCAACTCATAAAACCTTGAGATCATAACCTGAGCTGAAACCAAGATTCAGAGGCTTAATTGACTGAGCCACCCTGGTGTCCCAAATCATTCACATAATTAGGGCACAGACCATCCTTTGTGTCATTTGGTGTCCACTGCCACCCATGCCAAATCTCCAGACTTTTATCATAGCATCCAGAGCCTGACTCTATGACCAGACAATGCCATTTTAGTAATTTAACCAGGGCACCTGTCAGCTACTCCTAAATTTCCTACTAGTTATTAATGGACAATACCTGGTCGGGGAACTTTTCTGTTTCTTTTTCTTTTGTAAAAACTAATACTACACTGTATGTATGTTCACTAACTGGAATTTAAATTTTTAAAAAGTTTTAAAAATATTAAAGATTTTTAAAGAGTGTACAATTCAATGGTTTTTAGTATATTCATTGAATTATGCAAGTATTACTGCGGTCAATTTTAGAACATTTTCATCACCGCTAAAGAAGGCCCTTAAAAAGTAAAAACAAATGAAAAATTAAAGAAAAGGGTGACACCTGGATGGCTCAGTCAGTTGAGCATCTGACGCTTGATTCTGAGCTCAGGTGTTGATCTTAGGGTCATGGGTTCAAGCCTCACGTTGGGCTCCCTGCAGGGCATGGAACCTGCTTAAAAAAAAAAAAAAAAAAAAAAGCCCTGTACTCTTCAGGAATTATTCCCTTATTCCCTACCCCACTTGTCACTATCCCCACCAGCCCTAGGCAAACATTAACCTATTTTCTGTCTTTATAGATTTTGATGTTCTGGACATTTTATATAAATGGAAGCATACAATATGTGGCCTTTTGTGATTGTCTTCTTACATTTAGCATTATGTTTCAAGGTTCATCCGTGTTGTAGCCTGTATCAGTACTTCATTCTTGTTTATAGCCTAAAAATATTCCATTGTATGGATGCGCCACATTTTATTTAATCTGCTAATGGACATTAAGGTTGTTTCTACTTTTTGGAAAATTCACATTTCTGCTATGAATGTTCATGTACAAATTTTTGTGTACACTTATGCTCTCATTTCTTTTAGGTAAATACCTAGGAATGGAATTGCTAGGTCATATGGTAACTCTCTGTTTAGCCTTTTTAGGAACTGCCAGACTGTTTTTCAAAGCCGCTGCACCATTTTACAAAACTACTTGCAGATTCCGTTTCGCCCACCACCTCACCAATACTTGTTTTCTGTCTTTTTGGTAACCAGTCAAGTGGATTTGAAGTGATACCTCGTTGTGGTTTTGCTTTGCATTTCTCTAATGAATGAGTAGTGATGTGGAAACTTGTGTACTTGTTGGCTATTAGTATATATTAGTATATATATTACTATATATATGTCTATTGAAATTCCTTAAATTGATTTCTTTGTTTTTGTCACCATTGAGTTGTAAGGGTTCTTTATATATTCTAGGTGTAAGTCCCTTATCATATATATGATTTGCAAAAATTTTTTCCCATTCTGGGGGTTGTTCATTTTCTTCATGGTGAGAATCTTTTCTTCTAGACACTTTCCCACTTGTGTTTATCTCTTATCAAGGAGTCCTACATGCCAGTATTCTCAGGCTGGCTTGGCTAACAGAAGTTTCCTATTTTGACATTTTGTCAGGTCCACTTTTCCTTGAAAACTCTTTCTCCCAAATTATCCTTCTATTTCTCTAACCTCTAAAATTGCCTTTCATTTGACAATGGCTTGGTATGATCGAAAAACTCGGTCAGCCACCAACTGACATAATGTGTGGATTAAGTCACTTCGTATCACTGGTTCTCAGTTTTCTTTTCTGTAAAATAAGTTGATTTATTTCTGGTAATCCCTGTGAATGGTAGACTTCATTCACCTGATACTTGATTTTGAAAGAAAAACTTGTTAATCACTTTGCATTTGTGATTGGTAACATGTGTGCAGTATGGGAGAGGTGGATTGGGATAGAAGCAGAAGTGTCAGCTGGCCTGGCACATTTGTGATGCACTGATGTGACCTTGGCTATTTTCTACCATTTTAGTTTTCCAAGAGTATGGAATGCTAACCATTCATATTCTAGTGTTATACATTTGGGAAGGATGATCCTTTGATCTATCTAGTTACCCTTTCCATCCATTGTTTTCTTTACAGACCAATTCCTATGAATTTACAGAAAACTCTTAGATTCAAAGATCCTCCCCAAATCTTGAATTTGAATAAATACCATTTTGTTGATCAGAGAGATGTGTTTGTGCTTGTTCTTTCATTTTAAGACTCGTTTTTTTTTTTTTTTTTTTTTTTTTTTAATGTTTATTTATTTTTGAGAGGGAGAGAGAGTGTGCATGAGCTGGGGAAGGGCAGAGAGAGAGGGAGAAACAGAATCCTAAGCAGGCTCCATGCTGTCAGCGCAAAGCCTGATGCGGGGCTCAAACCCAGAAACCTTGAGATCATGACCTGAGCTGAAATCAAAAGTCATGAGGCTTAACTGACTGAGTCACCCGGGCACCCCAAGACTCTTTTTAGGTGCTTGAGTAGATTTTCCTTTTATTGGTGGTGAGAAGAAACTACTTACTATAGTAAGTGATAAACTATAACATGAAATGTGTTTTTCACGTTTTAGCACCAAATGCCTTTCAAAAGGCGCTTCAGGAATTTAGCTGTTTGTCCATGGTATGCATTTAGTTAATGTTCGTAATGTATTTTCAGAATTACAAATAAAAAATAAATAAATAAAACTTTCAAAAAAAAAAAAAAACTGCTCTGATGGTAACAGGTCATTTGATCCAGAGCAAATGAGAATTACTTAATCATAGCATGCTTTTTGAGTTCTCAAGATGTAGGCCATGTTGTTTCTTTTCTAGACATGCATGAAGTTTTTTATTTCCCATATTAATAAAGGTGGTGATGTTTAGAAAAGTAGAACTTCAGTATATTTCCTTTTATTTTATTTTTAGGTCTCTATTTGAGAGAGAGAGAGTGAGTGTGTGTATGAGAGTGAGAGTGTGTGAGCAGTGTAGGGGCAGAGAGAAAAGGAGAGAATCCCAAACAGGCTCCATGCTGTCAGCACAGAGGCTGATGCAGGGCTCGATCCCATGAACTGTGAGATTACAACCCCAGCTGAAATCAAGAGTTGGACATTCAACAGACTGCTCTACCTAGACACCCCTTCTTTCAAATTTTTTCATCAAGGTGCCCCTCCTTTCAAATTTTTTAAAATACTTTTGAGGAACATGGGTGAGGCATTCTATTTATTACTGACAAAGTTTGTGTAGGCATTTTTTAAACAAGCAGCAATTTACTTTTTCTTGAAAAGTTTATTTTTAATAATTCTATGTTATTTGTAAACTAACTTTGTTTATTGCTTATTCTCTTCATAATGAAAGTTAAAATAATTCCAGAGTTACTTTTACCAGTAACAATTATTTGACAGGCAAATGATCTCTACCCTACTGGATTATAATCTTCTTTGGATCAGACAGTAGCCTTATTACCATTACCTAATACATTGTAGGTATTCAGAAGTTTAAATGTATCAAAATACTAAATTTCGTTTAACTATTTCTCTATAAAAGGAAGGATAACACATTTGTTTATATTAACAACTATCAAAATGAATTCTTTAATCCTCACCAGCATCTTCTGACAGTGCTTCAAGTACAAGTTAACATAGGGAGAGAAAACAGATTATAATGTATGTCAGAGCTAATATCCTTCATATATAAAAAGTTCTTTGAAATTAATAAGAGAAGTGAACACTTTTTTTTTCTAACATTCGTTTTTAAAAGAGACAGAGCCTGAGTGGGGGAGGGGGAGAGAGAGAGAGGGAGACACAGAATCTGAAATAGGCTCCATGCCTGCACACACAGCCTGATGTGGGGCTCGAACTCACAAACTATAAGAACGTGACCTGAGCCAAAGTCGAATGCTTAACTGACTGAACCACCCAGATGCCCCAAGAAGTGAACACTTAAAAAGAGGCAATTTACAAAGGAATTAGATGACGTTTATCTACATGTACACACATATGTATAGTGAATATTCTCAGAAAGATAGACCATATTAATGAAATAATAAGATTCTATAAAAAGGAACATCCAGGCATTAAAGATGTACTCTTAGAAATTAAACATATGAGAGCAAAGATTTAATAAAATTTGACAAATATACTAGGAGATAGTAAGTTTCCTGAAAGTATAACAAAAATATAGTTGACACACAGGGCAGACATGCTCAATATATGTGTGTGGATTCAGTGTCACCTCATACCTGTTAGGATGGCTATTATAAAATAAAATGAA